TCAGTATTTGAGGATATTTTTGATGCATGAAATCTGATTTACATATGCATATATGCTTTTTCCGTTCTATAAATATTTCGAAAAGACTGACAATTTTAAATTTTATTTTTTTAACTCTATCCCTTGAATTTTTTAGTATTTTTTTGAAACTTCAAGTAATAATAATGTACTTGCTCTATAAGCAAAATACTGCGGTTGCCACAAATAAAGTTATAGTTAGAAAATAAATAAATAAAAATTCAATTCTGGTAATGAAATAAAATTACATAGTATTTTAAACCATTCATTTTGTAACTTTTCAGTTCATTTCGAACGGTTTATGGTAAATTTTGGATTTCAATATAATGTTTCTTACTACTTCACATTTATCGCTTGCTACCCAATGGAATGACCCAGGTTAGATTTACAGGGTTAGCAATTGATATGAATTCTGGTTCCGACACGCACCGACTACAGTGCTGATATCAAGCTAACCATGAGAGGTTTTCGTGTTTTTCCTTTTTATGTAACACAAATACGGGTTAATTAAATCAAAAAGAAAGCCCTTTCCCGAAAACTAGTTTATCTCAATCTTCTGAATCGGGTTCAAAAATACAAACCTGTGAATCTGAGCATTGATTGTAGTAAAATCAGTCGTTCAAAGTCGGCTGTAAAGTGAAATATAATTTAACTTCAATAATGCTAATTTTCCCTCCTGAAATAACAACACTTTTTAAAAGAAATTACGCCTAGTTTCATTCGTATGAGTGTATATTTATAATAAATATCGGCTCCACTTCAGCCTTCTACGTAAAAATGTATTTTACCCTGATTTGTCCCTTTCGGCCTCTGTCATCCCTTCAGTCACCACAGTTTTTCTCATTCTTTTTTCCTGTGTGTTTTTTTTTTTTTCATTTTTGGGTGGCAACTTTGCTTCCTTTTTTCTGATTTGTACTGTTTGATCATTCGTGTGTTTTTGTTTTAAAAGTAAGAACTGTACTAAAATGCTACAAACATGTGGTTGAAATTGATAGTTAATTTATAAAATGATTAAACAAAAATATCTCAAGTATCTATAAAATATTCCAAGNAGCATTATAAACCATTCATTTTGTAACTTTTCAGTTCATTTCGAACGGTTTACGGTAAATTTTGGATTTCAATATAATGTTTCTTACTACTTCACATTCATCGCTTGCTACACAATGGAATGACTCAGGTTAGATTTACAGGGTTAGCAATTAATACGAATTATGGTTCCGACACGCACCGACTACAGTGCTGATATCAAGCTAACCATGACAGGTTTTCGTGTTTTTCCTTCTTATGTAACACAAATACGGGTTAATTCAATCAAAAAGCAAGCCCTCCCCGAAGACTAGTTTGTCCCAATCTTCTGAATCGGGTTCAAAAATACAAATCTGTGAAGCTGAGCACTGATAGTAGTAAAGTCAGTCATTCAAAATCGACTGTAAAATGAAATATAATTTAACTTCCATAATGCTAATTTTCCCTCCTGAAATAACAACACTTTTTAAAAGAAATTACGCCTAGTTTCATTCGTATGAGTGTATATTTATAATAAATATCGGCTCCACTTCAGCCTTCTACGTAAAAATGTATTTTACCCTGATTTGTCCCTTTCGGCCTCTGTCATCCCTTCAGTCACCACAGTTTTTCTCATTCTTTTTTCCTGTGTGTTTTTTTTTTTTTCATTTTTGGGTGGCAACTTTGCTTCCTTTTTTCTGATTTGTACTGTTTGATCATTCGTGTGTTTTTGTTTTAAAAGTAAGAACTGTACTAAAATGCTACAAACATGTGGTTGAAATTGATAGTTAATTAATAAAAAGATTAAACAAAAATAACTCAAGTATCTATAAAATATTCCAAGAATATTGCAAATTGAAATAATGTCTAAATATAAAGCTTTCCTAAATGATGGGTATCGCAATCTTTAAATCAAGCCTCTGAACATTAAAATCAAAATGATTTGCTGATATCTATTGAACATTTAAAAAAATTATTTTCCTCACATGATATTTTGAAAGCACATACAATTGAATTTTGAATAAGAGAAACATTTTACTGTTAGAAATTCAATTAAATAACTTCAAGTAATAATTCAAAGTTGCTATCTGTAAAACAGCAGTGAAAATTAATATGCGTTTAAGTATAACATTAACGCCTTTCATGTGTTGTTAAAAGATTTCAAATTAATTTGTCACAAATTTCGTTCATTTGCATAAAATGTTTTCTAGTTCAAGCAATGGACTGATATTGAGTTAAAAGTCGTATATTCATTAGGAAAACAATTAAAACTTAATCAGAAATAACCACAGTAGTCAACCAAATTCCCAAAATCAATACCAAAGCAATCTAAACTATTTTCTACAATGTGTGAGACTTTGGAGGCCTCAGCGGCGGAAATTAATTTGAAATACCGGCATTTCTAAGCAAATATATATCTTCTCAGATTCAGTACTATATACTGACAGATATTTAAGTTTGCCTTTTTTCATGTTTATATTGTGATATATATGAAGAGAATATAAGTTACCAGAAATCAATAATAATCTACGCAGGAATAATCATTATGATTTATACCTTATAATAGCAAACGAATATTTATTTTATTGATCATTAATATTGAATGTTTTTAAGTCCTATAACAATAGAAACTAATTTTAAAATGCACCATCTTGTAAAATGACTGCAGAATTAAATATTACATAAGAAAAAAGTTGCTTCAATTGCATATTTAGGCAAGATTGTATTGTTACTAAGGTTTTACTAAATTAACGTTAGATGGATGTAATACATACCTTAGTAATAAATGTACAGTGTGCAAAAAAAAAGACCACTGTGAATAACTTTTGACCTAATAATCGGATCTTCATGTTCAAGGACTCAATCTTAATGACTTGAGGAGGTGACCATAATATGCTATTTAAAATGTGCAGACTATATCTTAAATAACGAAATCAGACCCAAAAACGTACTTCCTTTGAATAAACATACTTTTTTTTAAGGGATTCAGCTTCATATATTATATATATTTTAAAGCAAATGTTTTAAAAATAACATCAGAAATGTTTTATTGCTTACAGTTCTCATAAAGAAGGAGTTTATTGCATGTTCCTCAATATTTAATTTAATTTTGTTCAATTAGATCAACGGGAACATGGTAGCATAGGAAAACTATATTAAAAAATCAGCATCTCTAAAAATTATCCAAAACCAAGTGTTTATTTTGATTATAGTTATGATTTAAAAAAGTATTTCTTCAGCACTAAATATTTTAAAGTCAAATGGTATTTAGAATAAAATAAAAATTAAGTTATGCACTCAAAAGCAAATTTAATTTAGAAATAGTACTAAGAGTATGAAATAGTTTAAGAGAAGCGCAAAAATTAGTCTTAATTAATTCTTAATAATAGTACTTAATTGAACTAAACAAATAAGCTATGCACACGAAAAAAAAATTCTGGTAAAGTTTCCGTAACGTCAATTCTTATAAAAATAAACCTTTAATTCTGCTTGATAAAACCAAAACACCAATATTTTCAAACCATTCACTTATTAATTTTTCCGTTTACCGATTTACCGAAAATTCTGGTTTTCAAAATTACAGTTTCTATTACCTCACGTTTTATGATAAATACAAAACTTGTAAGTAAATTTAACGGAATAAACGGTTTTTATACCCTGCTTTAAGATATCATAATAAAATTACCAAATTTTATCACATAATTTAAAATTATATTTTACTGCTAATTTTACCAAAATCCTTAACAGAATGATTCAGTAAATATTACCAAGCTTTTCGGTGATCCCAAAGAGAGACAGAAACGAGCTAAATTTTTCCATATTCTGGTAATTTTGCCCATACATTTTTCTCAGTGTACTATAAAGTAAATCTATTTAGCTAATTGATAAATGCTTTGTACTAATACATTTAGAAGAAGCGTAAAAATAGTTAAACTATTATTGAAACTAGTGATGTTTAATCAATTTCAGTCACTAATACTAATTAGGGAAAACTAAGCCCTTCGTACTAAATAACAAAATTAACAGAGAATTGGTACTGATTCGTTTAAGGGAAACGGAATGAAATTCCCATTGTTTTATTGACGCCTATGATTCTAACTTAATTTTGGTAATAGGTATTAACAGAAATAAACAAAATAAACTATGTACTAAAAAAGAAAATTAATCTAGAATTTATAATAATTCGGTTGGTCGAGACAAGTATATACTTTTAAAAGATATGGAGAATTATTCGCTCTTGTGGCCCCGAAAAAGTGGAGTACCATCATAACGATTTCTAAAGTACAACTCACAAGGTTAGTGAAACATTCAACAAATATTTTTAAGCATTGATACTTATAATACAAAAATAATTAACAGAAATTTTCCACTTGAACCGCTCAAAAATGCCTCCTAATGGGAAAAACTCAACTATTAGACCAAACGTTACTAATAGCAGTTTCCTTAATATATAGTAAAAAATTTCAGATGAAATTAAGGTAAAATCCATTGATATCGGAACAGAAAAATCCGATTAACCGTAATTTTTAGAGCAATAATTACAGTAAAATCATTACATAAATCTTTTTGTAAAAATTACGGTGTAATAATTTATTCAAAAATGGATTTTACGGATGATGCACCCAATGTTTTGTTAGTTAAAATACAATTTGATCCAGAATTTTTTACGGTACGCAGACTAATTACAACTAGAGCAACTTTTTTATAGCAGACACCTTACTAAATTAATAAAATAAAAAATGCAACTCTATGTACAGTATCAAAACATTAAAAACTATAAACATTAAAATCTAAATTATTAGTCATATCATTTAATGCATTTTTTTTTCATGAATTGAGTGCATTCTTTTTTTCAAATCTTGATACTTTTTTTCTATCAAAATCTCCATTTATTATTACTTTTCCATCCGTCGAAAATAATGCAACACTTGGATATTTTTCGATTTCAGCATTAATCGGTCTGTTTATAATTGATACATCTGTCAGTAGCAGTACCCGAAAGGATCTTTTCTATAAATTGCTTCCTTCCATTCAGCCAGCGGAAACTTCTGTGAATTGGCTGACCTATTTGTCACATTATTCTATGACAAATGGCATGTGGAAACTTAAAGAATCACAAGAATAGTAACAAAATATTTTTCTTTGTATTAGTTCCTACCTAGTTCATCTTTATATACTATTTATTATAAAACAATTATGGTGAAAAGCTATTCCTTCTAAGTTATTTTATAAAAATACGCCTCCTAATTACTCGGAGCATTTAATAGGTGAGAGCGTCATCTCTCTTATGATCTTTATATTATGTTATTATTTGTTACATTATGTTACTATTTGCTGCATTATATTATTATTTAGGGTATTGTTACTTATTTAATTGTAAAGCTATAAGTATATATACTCCGAAGAGCCATTACATTATGACCACCCTCCATCTATAACAATGGGCTCGCCTAAGTTTTCATGGTTTCTCGCCGAGAAGCAATGTTTTCATGGGGCACATTAGGACCCATAATCCTCATAGAACAATCCCTGACATCTGTAAGCTACTTAAACATAGTTGCAGACCAGGTTCACCCATTCATTGCAACAGTTTTTCCTGCGGAGGATAGTGTTTACCAANGGGCACATTAGGACCCATAATCCTCATAGAACAATCCCTGACGTCTGTAAGCTACTTGAACATATTTGCAGACCAGGTTCACCCATTCATTGCAACCGTTTTTCCCGCGGAGGATAGTGTTTACCAACAGGATAATGCATCATGTCATAAGGGTCGAATCGTCATGGATTGGTTCGAGGAACATTCCAGTAACTTTCCAAATTCACCTGACCTTAATCCAATCGAGCATTTGTGGTCCTACTTGGAAAACCAAATTCGTGCTGCCACGCTACCCCCTCGAAATGTGAGGGAATTGTTTGATCAGTTGGTGAGCGCTTGGTACCAGATACCTCAGACTACCTATCAGCACCTTGTGGAATCAATGCCACTACGGATGCTAGCAGTTTTGAGGGCTAAAGGTGGTCCTACATGTTATTAGCAGGGTGGTCATAATGTAATGGCTCTTCGGTGTATATATTAACCGTTTGAGACTCACAGTGAACTAATGGAAAACCGAACTTCCAGTGGAAAGTTTCCAGAGAAAAAAACTTATTTACTAGCGATTTACCTAGAAAAATCAAGCCAAAACTAATGTACTAACTTAAGGTGCGTAACTTGTGTGGGGTATTAATTATCGACCGTGTCAACCTTCATTTATCAAAAGGTACCTCAAGATGGAATCAAGTTAACTTGTCTTATATACTAGTGAATTGGTACTTAATATTTGTAGTGGTAGTTACGCCTCATTACTCCCCTTCCAGAATTTTATCTGTGATAGAATTTCGATGAACGAATACCATTAGTTGATTCATGCTGTTTATTTATTTATATCATTTTTGCTCATTAAAATTTTTTTCTTCATAGCATTTCACTCATTTTTTTCCTTCTTGTATATAGCATATATATGCATATTATTTATTGCATTTTGCTCATTATTTTTTTTTTTTTTTTTTTTTTTTTTTTTTTTTTTTTTGTTTATAGCATTTCACTAATTTTTTTTTTCCTCAATACTTTTTATTGATCGGGAGACTTTATTTACATCACCGATTTTTTTTTTTTTTTTTTTTTTTTTTTTTTTTTTTTTGAGCAGTATATTTTTTAAGCAAATCAACTGTTTAATGTGGCCCATCCATCAATATTATCATGTTCCTATCACGTCCGCAGGTCACCAATGTGGTGTTGTTTTATCACCTTAATACAAGTGAGACTTATTCAGTAGGTCTGCAGATATTTATTCATCAACCAGACTGTTGCCATCCTACATACAAGAAATAATTTATAATCATCTTGCTTAATCGATTCATTATCGATTAAGAATAATACTACACATGTAAATGGCAAACCTTGAATGGATCTTATGTTCACTGTAAGCAGTTTCAAAAAGAATATCCATTTTTATAATTTGATTTCCACTCAACTGCGTCTACATTAGTGGTTAAAATTTATTAATAAAAGAGTACAGAAACAAATATTAATTTAAAAATTAAATGAAATTTATCAAAATACTAGGAAACATGCAATGATAGGATGACACAGATCAATAATGATATCACAAAAATGTTCCGTTACTATATTATTATGTTTTTATTCATTTCTTTAAACAATTTCTCATATTATTATTAGACCTAATAGTCATGATATTTTTATGAAGAACAAATCATTTCTATTTGTTAGTTTAAAAAAATATGTTATTTATTTATTCGGAATATTTATATGCACGAAAGAAAGTTATTCGATATAAAATTTTATTTAACCGTGAAACAAGCGCGCATATGTGAAAAATACGCCCAAGTTGTATAAGTTTTTTTTTTTTCAATTCTAAAGGTTCTTGTTCCACTACTCTCTGATCTACTGTAGTTATCGTTTGAAACTTGTGAAGTAAATATTTCTTGAAATTTATCTATTTAGAAATCTTAAATCACATATGTTTTTAATTGCAAATTGGAGACTAAATATCAATAAAATGAATTTCTTCATCTTCGAATAACTTTGCATTATTTTGAAAAACTTTTTTCATTTCTATATTATTTTTTTTTCACTTCAGTATGGATAATAGTGCTTCAATTAAAACATAATTTTTATTTCATTTTCGAATCATTTCAGTAAATCGTTGGTCTTTATGTTATCCAAGCTCAGTCTTTTTTTTTTTTTTTTAGAAAAAAGAAATCTTAATTATTATCCTTGCGTTGATTGTAGTAAAATTATAAGTTGGTTTTAACATTTACAATCCTAAAACTCGCATTTTCCATTTTCAGTGATGGCTTTTTTTCCTCGAAATTTCTTAACATGGAGAGCACGAGCATTGGCTTAATTTTAAACTGAAAGTTCTTTCAGAATCATATAAATATTTAAATATCAGCTCAAAGAACAATATATTTTATGACACTTTTGCTGCTTAAACAAAAACATACTTTTGCTACAGCATTTCTTATTTGCTTAAATATTTATTTTCAAATTGAAAATCTTTTCTAATCTATTTACGATGGTATTTCTTTTCCTGCGTTACTTCCGAAATGTCACCTGCCGCTTGCACTTCCGCAGCTGTTACTCAACTGGAAATAAGTTTTAAGCCTCAATAGCAGATTTATACCTAAACAATATCATTCTAGGATTCCCAAGGACATACTATGATGGTTATATGGTGGAAAATTTAATTAAGTTATATTTAGAATCTATCTGGTAAACCAAAAGTTTCCTCAAGAAAGGGAAAATCCTGGGGAAAAGTAAATCCATGATATTTACTTAAGACAGAATGATGGCTTCTGCTCTGCTAACTTAATCCTCGACTCAAATAATGCATGAAAATAAAGTTTCAGAAGGTACTTTATTTTCTCTTCCGAGAAAATTAAATTGATATCACTGGTGATAGATTATTACTGCTGAATAAAAGCGAGTCAATATAATTATTGTCTTCAAGTTTTCGTTAAATAGTGTCTTTAATTAAACTATTCTATATTGAAAGTCCCTGAAGTCAAACTTTGAATAACATATGTTACTCATTGCTTACCTTCTGACGCAGAATTTTTATTAGCCCATATAATTGAAACATACTTTTATTGAAACACATACATTTAATATTTTTGATCAATTGATAAAGTGGATTATAACCTACCTGGTATTAAATAGGCTATAAATTGTTTGTCTAGTCAATCCAACAAAAAAAACATTCAACTTTCTTCAATACACAGTAACCGCTATATTACCACGATCTTGAACTTTCCTAATTACTCACATTAAAATTTCCAAAAATGGCCCAAAGTTGTTTAATATACAATTAAAAAGTGCTCTACTTTCATTTCACACATGAATTCAGCTAAATAGTGTAAAAATGCGATTAATCATTCACGAAATTCACAGAGGTCCGAAAAACACTTCCTTTTTCAGCAACGTACTGTTTTCAGTAAAGAGAGTAAAAATAACTCTAAGATTGGCTTGAGTTTTATCAATTATTGGTGTTAGGATTGAACTACACCAACTGAATTGTGTAAAAACACTCGATTCTGTATTAACTTGAAATAAAGTAATCATTCAAGCAATTGTTTAGAATTACACCAAATTACACCACAGTTTTATGTGTCGTGGATGCAAATAAAGTGCTATCTACTATTTATCCTTTAAGGAAAGTAGGAGAAAAGTTCTATTTCTATGCAAAAACAGAGGGAAGAAAAGTGGAATTTATTCTAAAGCTGTAGTATTTATTGTAGTATTTATTGATTTTGTGCTAAGAAATAAAGCTACAAATACCTATGATTTATACTCTTTAAAAAACTTTTTACATAGTTACCACCATTTTCCGTGTTGAGATAAGCTAAAAACTTTTAAAGTGTATAAGTCTCATTTTCTTATTTTATTTTTCAATGATATAGTTTTATTTAATTATTATACCTTTTTTTTGCAGTAGAATCAATTTATTGGCTTCATTATAAAAATATTTCGCTTTAAAGACAAGCTTATATTTATTAGTATATTCGCACTTATTCTTTCAAACGATTGTTATTTTGTCAATTTTGTACATTTTTTGCTCTATAATTTCAGTTTTCTTCTTAAAATATCTCTAGCTTATTCCTGCACAAAAAATGGTGGCAACTATACATAAATTATTTTTACTGTGTATGAGTTTGTGTGAGCACCTTTTTACCCCTTAGTGTGCCCATTTAATCTCCATTAAAAAACTTCAAAAATACCGTTATGTATTAATTTTTTCCCCACATTATCTGTATTCCTCTTTTAAGGAATTCTAAATAAACTTAAATAGTATCATTTAATTACCCCTGATCAATTTTATTTTGCTATATTTTAAGAAATTATTATCTATACCTATACTAACTCAAATATATAACCTATATAACTCACCTATATACCTATATAACTCACCCTAATCATTGTATTGAATGATATTAATTAAATTACTCCAATTATAAAATTGAAATTATATTTTGTATGTTTGAAAACACATTTTCTAATTTTGTTTGTTAACTTAATTGTAGGCATATTATTCAATCGATTAGAACTTAAATAATCAGGAAATAACAAAAAAAAATAAGTCACATTAGCTTGTGAATAAATAATAAAACATAGTAAATAGAAATATAAACCTGAAACTTTGATGAACCCTCAAACATAAAAAGACATAAAAACATTCCAATATTCAGTTTAAAAACACTATTC